CCCCCTGACTCTTTCTCTCTCTCTCTCTCTCTCTCTCTCTCTCTCTCTCTCCTTTTCTCCGGCCACCATAAAACGTACGTCCACTTTTACGCAGCTTTTACGGTACTTAGTCGTGGATCGTTCTTCGTCCAAGAGGAAGGCTCTTTCCGAGACGCGGTGCGGCAGTCCGTCTTCTCGAGCTCGTGCGTGTTAAACTTCATTGAAAGAACTTTCGTCCGCGACACGACGCGATAATAGAAACGCCTTAGTACACTATATCCACGGGAAACTATCGATCTATAGACAAACCATACGCGAAAAATCGTGGAAACATGTCGATACGAAAGACCATCGAGATCCAAAACGATAAACAGCCCATTCTCGATTGAACGCAAAGTGCATCGAGAGATTTCCGTGAAACAAAACGCAGAACATCATTATTATCTTAAAGTGTATTTAGGATACGTGTCGAAACAATCGACGGGGAATCGAATCTAACCTTTTTGAAGTAATGTCATTCGACGCCCAGTGAACAGGTAAAACCGTTTTCGGAGAACGATAAATCGCACCTGTGCGGGCCCGCGGATCGAACCACGGAAGAAGAATCGTCCTGTTGATATAATGAAAGTGTGCCACTTTCACGGTGCAGTGAGAGCCGATCGGTGTGTGAACGTGAAAAAGTTTGCAACGCGTCCCGATGAACGAAACCGCCGGTGCGTTATTAATTTCGTGGATGTCGCCGCTTTGTCCAGTTGAGCATACCCGACTCGACCGATGTCCACTCTGATCGTACTCCGAATTTGAACATGAACCATTAAACTGTGTGTCACGAACCTCATAAATCGTTCCTGTGCCCATTATACGAGACAGATCCATTAAGTAGAGATTTCATTCGATCTATCAAAACGAGAGTCTTCGTATTTGCCTCACGATGTTAGACAATATGACAAAATGGTCAACCACCACGGGTTCTCGATTGGTCAAAGCTCGAAGCAGCCCGAACGTGTCCAAGACCCCTCTATCGATCGCTAGGAAACCGGCAGATCAGGGTGGATCGACGTCGATTAAACCACGGGTCGTAAAATCACCGTCCACTGCGAAAACATCCAGCAAGATCGCCTCTAACGACCATGTCGTTGCTTCGTCTCGCGTCAGCACCGTGGATCACGCAAAGGCACGCGCATCCTCCTGCAGCAGACCTCGTCGATCAACGATCGACGGTCGACACGAACCAACGAAATGTTCATCGTCGTCCAATTCACGAAACGAAAAGAAACTTGCCCCGAAGACGGTGTGCACGTCTCCGTCCTGCATCATACTGGAGGACAGAACATTACTGAAGAAGAGGCTCTCCTATACACCTGTGAAGCTACCCAAGAAGTCCGACAATGTAAGGACGAAGATCGGTCTGGATCGCTCGGCCAGTCTCGGATGCGTTTCCGGAGATGCTAGAAATAATCCTGGAGGATCGTTCAAGATGACCGATTCGTTCTTTAGCGAGTCCAAAAAATCGTCGATCGTGGATCGAGAAAAGATGAGGGCCCAGGAGAGGAAGGATCCTCCGCAAAGGATGACGACGATGAACCGATCGACGAGCTTATGGAGCATCCGAGCCGTATCGAGGAACGATTGCAAGAGAATCACGGGAATGTCCTCGAGGCCGAGCAGGATTCCACTTTTGGCGCACAGGAATACGCGCGTGGGCCGATCTCTCGCCGATCTAACGCAGGTAGATCGGCTGACAGAGTCTGTGGTCCGTGCAGCGCCGTTGGACACCGTCGACGTTGATCTCGATCGTTCGATGGACGAACGTATATACGAAAATTGTCGCGAGGCTTTCGGTTCTGGTGGATCGACGGATACGACTTGTCAGCAGGTTCGTGGGACCGGTAGCAATCTCGAGGAACGGGTGGCGAGGTTGATGGCCCAATTGGACGACGATGACGAGGATGAGAACAATAACGACGAACGGATCGAGACTGTCATGATGGAATCGAAAGATACCGTGGACGCTGCTCCGCCTTGTAGAATCGTTTATGAGGCCCGGGAGCTCGATATCGAACGGAAGGATAAGTCGGATGGGAAGAGTGAAACGAAGTATCATGCCACCGTGATCAGGATCGATGACGATTCTAGTAGTAGTTTAAAATCATTGGAAAGAAAGGATCCAGTTGTGACCGTGAATTTTGGTACGATCAGAAGTGCTTCCAGCGCCAGGGACATTAGCAACCGGTTAGAGGATGACGGTGTCAAAAGAGCGAACAGCGTCGACGAATCGAAACAGAAGAAAGAAACATCGAATATCGAAAAGCTCCGAATGAATTGGGAGAAACAGGCAGGCGGGCAACCGGTCGTCGATCCTGAAAAGAAAAATGATTCTGGATGTGTTTCTACGTCCGTGAACACGGAACGATCGAACAGGCAGAAGGAGGCAGAGATCAGGCAGCTGGAGGCGAAGAACAAACACTCGGTCGGCAAAAGGGCGAAGGAGATCGAGCATTTGGTGAATTTTTTCAATTGCAAGAACGCCGAAACGACCAGAAAATCGAAGGATTCCGGTCATGTGATCGGTACGAAGAAGAACGTTAACGCGAAGAGTTCGAACGATTATAATGGTTATACCTCGGATGGGAATTGCTCGGAGGACAGCGGTCATATGAGCAACGAGAACGAGGCCGAGTGGAAGGAGACCGTGGAGAACGAGACTCCTCCGCCACGAGAGTACGGGAAGAAACGTTTTTTCGCGGAGCCGAAGCACGATAACGGGCCGTTTCGTTCCGCGATCATTGATCGACTGGAGCCCGAAAAGGAAACGGTTGTCGTTGTCGGGAACGGCGGCGCGTTGACTTCGAGCGGGGCGAGCAGCATCGATAGCTGCAAACTGGACGCCGCAGCGGCCGGCAAGCAACAACCTGTCGAATACATCGGTAAAGACCAGTGGAAAGCTAGCAGATCCTACAACGATGGACGACAGGTCCGTCGCGTAATCGTCGGTCTTGTATAATTTTATCACCTTGATTGTGGATTTTTATTGCGTTTATATAGGCGATTTATATATATATATATATATTGTTGCGTGGACGCGGCATGACTTTCGAATAAATAAGGGCAATATTAATAAAAAGGAAGAATTATTTATTTTGGAGAGGAGGAGTACTTATCTTAATACGTCTTTTCTATTCTACAGTCGTATCACGACTCTACTCTGTCTCTGTTTTGGCGTTGTTTTACATTATACAATACGTGCTACCTATCGGGTAACACGTAACAATATATATATTTTTAAGGAATGAATAATCTATATCTGTATTGAAGCACAATTTTTTTTACCAGATCTGGTCGGATTTAACACTGGAACTACCTAGCGTTTAATGCATGCTAAATTAAATTGTACATTATTTTAATATGTTTAATATATAATACAATGTTACGTAATATAGTATAATGTTAAATGTATGATAGATTGAAAGTCAACATAAATTTTAAGAGAAACATAGTTATGATTTTAATTATTGTAAGATGAGAAATTTGAAATCCGTCATTTTGAGGGATTTGGTGGTTCTAGTGTTAATATCCTTTTGGGAGAAATTCGCAGCTTGTTCTGAAAAATGATCTATTAATATGTAATCTACCTGATTCTGCCCGATTTAATATCTTTCTGGGAGGAATCAGTTGCTTGTGCTGGAAAAGGATCTTTTCAGGGGTATTAATCAGTAATCTATCAGATTTTGTCAGATTTAAGCCTGCTGTTTTCCTTACTTATTCTTCACGCTTTTGTATCCCTTTGAATGAAGTTATTACAAAGTTTGAAATGATTTGTTCTTAAGAAATGGAGAATTTAGACGAACTAGACGTGAAATTTAAATATCTTGGATAACTAAAAACAAATATTTAAAAATGTAATATTTGTCGAAATATAATCTTTATTGTTTTGGGTCATATGGACCCGAGGAGAACAGAAGGGTTAACATCTTTTTTGGAGGAATCAGATGCTTATGCTGAGAAAAATAATCCTTTCAGAGATATACTCATAATATAGTAATTCATTAGATTTTGTCAGATTTAATGATATCTGGGGGGATATCAACTGCCTATATACAAGAAAAAAGATATTTTTTTTTGGTTTATTAATAAGTAATCTTCTGTACTTTCTCAGACCTAAATATTCAAATATTTATATTTAAATTTAATTTAATTGTTATATTTACGTTTTTGAAGAAATCAACAGCACATGCTATAGAAAACGATTTTATTAGGTGTTCCAATCAATAGTACACTATTTTCTACCGACTTCGATATCTGTAACTAAGAAAATCAAAAACACACGATACTTTGAGCATTTCTGTATTTATACTTTATCATCTTACGTCGCTTTCTTATAAAGCAAAATGGCGGGACACATGTTGAGTTTAAAACTGTATTATCCTCTTATATTAAGAAAATAGTGGATCGTTGTATCTGTATAAGAAAATTTAAGGATATACCGTTCATGACATTATTCGATTTGTCGATATAAGATAGCCCGTTCGAAATGGCAGTTTGGTAGACTAAATCGGTACAAACACGCCGACCAGTCCAATAATTCAGTAAATATTATTTTCTTTAAAACAATGAAATATTCCATGAGATATTCAAATTGAGGATTCTTCGAATTTGAGTGCATGGTCTATCTGTAAGTTTATTAAAAAACATATATAGTTTCATTTCTAAAATGAATAAGTACCAGCATACTTTATAGGAGTATATAAGATTTCTATTTCTTCTAACTAAACACCTAATTATATACGTTTCCTGCAGTACATTATTTATTATTTATTTATAGCATAATAAACCAAGAATTTTCAAGATAAATTTTTGTTCCATTCTGGTTTTCCTCGATGGATAAAAATTATAAAGTTACGTTTAAACATTCGTAGCGTGATTATAATTGTAGTAGAATTAAGAGTATTCTGTTTCTTCTTTAAAATAATCAAGGAAATTTCTCGGCAAACGATTAATACCTCCTCATCTGCTTCGAACAGATATTTTTCAGATCGGGCACTCTGGAACGGCTCGAGGCGCAGAGAGACGAGAAGCTGACCGGCCACATTATTCTTTTACAAGCGAGATGCAGGGGTTATCTGGCACGTCGTAAACTCAACACGTTGAAAGTATGTCATGACATCTTCTTGATCTTGTAAAAGTGCACCTTCCTCGCTTGCGCATCTCCACTCTCCGCTTACTCTGAAAAAAGTTTCACACGCCGCTAACGCTTCTGCTGTTGCAAAATGCATGCGTGGTAAAATTATAACTTCCTCCACGATATAACACTGAAAAAGAGTAAGAAATTTCTGTCTTTATAAATTGACTTTCAAGAGGAGACTAGATTTTAAATACTTCAGTCTACCGATGATAGTTCTGACAACCAAAAAAAAAAAATTAAAATGAGAACTGTTTCGAGTGACAGGTGCTTTAGTAAATGTCCAATACTAACAAAGATTCTCGTTGGAAAAATTACTACTACTTTTGCATACAGTAATGATACGTCGGAGAACGATGATAAATTACCGTAAATCAAGATGAAATACATTTTGATAAAGGAAGTTCGTTCCTTGTGTGCAAATGACCTAATAAAATAAAATTTTGAATTCACAATACTTTCTGGGTACAGCTTAACGAGTCATTTGTTTCTTTTCAATGGAAACGTTTCGAAATTTGTATCTCTTCCATTGGAAACGATTAAAAATTTTTATCTTTTGCCATGGAAATGGTTTGAAACTTTTATTTTTCGAAGTGGAAACGGTTTAACATATTTACTTTTCGAAATGGAAACGGTTCAAAATATTTATTTTTCAAAATGGAAGCTGTTTGAAAGATTTAATTGTTTGCAAAAGAAAAAGTTTGACATTTTTGGTTTTTGCAGTGATTTCTTTTACGATCAGAAAGCTTTCGAATGTTCGGTAAACTGTGATACGACGCGACAGTACAATGATTGCGACACGATTCTTGAAGATGACACCTGAAGCGATGCAATAACATTCACTTTGCAACCAGCGGACTAAAATTCATTCGTATCTACTTTTAACGCCACAGCATATACTTTGTATATCGCAATACTAATTCAGTGTCGCTAACCAGCGTGCAAAAGTTTCATTCTAATTACTTTTGCGCAGCATGACGGATCTATCGACGATCGAGGTAGCGTAGAGACGACTCGTTATAACTCCCGAATGAATCTTTAACCCGTTAATCGAATTAATTCACCCTAATTTATGTTCAATCGACCTTTGTTTGTTCATTTGCTGTCATTTTCATGTATAAGTCTTCAAAATTATTAACCAATTAGTTTATTCACATTATTTACATCCATACTTTACTTACATTAATTAAAATCTGTAAATTTCGAACATCTTATTATTAGATGTACTAATGAATAATCTTCTAGTTTTCAAAATTTGTTGGACATCTAACAAGCTTATTCCTCTTTGAAAATCACATCCCATATAGGGGCAGATACTCAAAATAATTTTTGGAAGGGATTTATTTAAAATTTGATCTATAAAAACCATCGACATTAACCAGAAGCTACATACCTGCGAGTAATGGAGCAACATAACTTTTATGCAATTCACGCGGCAACACTTCGAAAGCAATCAACTAAAAAACTTTCGAGTATCTGATCCTATATGGAAGGTGATTTGTAAAAAGGAAGAAGCCTATTCTTGTCTGAAAAGCTTTATTAAAATCAGCGATCCGAAGTTGGGGCCCACCACGTGTAAGAGAACTCGATCGAGGCCCGTCGAACCGAATCGATCATTTCTCGTGCAGTCTATGGTAATCCGACGATAAACACGATCGATTTCTTTTTCAGTTACAAGATCTTGCGGTCAGATGCATACAGAGAAACGTCAGAAAATGGATGTCCGTACGAGAATGGCCATGGTGGAGATTATACGTAAAGGTTGCGCCTTTGCTGAACGTTCATCGGACCGAGGATCAATTGAAGGCGAAGACGGTGAGAATTTTTAGAATAATTTTAACTTATTCGCGCGTGAACAGAAATTTTTAACGAAATCTAAAGGAAACAGACAAGATGAAAAATGCAGTGAAGAATTAATTGTTGTGCTTTTTGGTTTTGTGTTAGGAGGAACTCGAGATTCTGAAGGCGAAGGTGGAGAGGCTGGAACAAGAACGGAATCATTTGAAACATGACAACGACATATTGGAAACTAAGGTACGACGAGGAATTGTTTATTTCTACTCTTTTTCAGTGAATTTTTAGGAATCATCGAATAGAAAAGTGTCGAACTTATTTACGCGTTACTGTCTACTTCCAGTTTGATATTTAAAATATATCTATATATATAGGAATCTATAACCTGCATATAGAACTTATTTTATAACCGTGATCGTATTGTATTAATATGGTTTTTGCAGACGTGAACAGGAGAATATTAAGTTCTTTAAAATAGTTCATGCTGCAATCGTTAATATATATCTGGACAGTTAACTCGAATGTTAAAATCAGTTACAACAGTAATTCTTTTCATAAGATATCAATGATCATCACAACAACACGTTTTACTCGACGATGATACAACCTCTGGAAACAGTTTTGATATTCTATCTTCAAGATGGCAGTGGGAATAGTCTTGATCTCCAAAAGTATTATGTATATTGATGTAACAGTTTTTTTTTTGTGCGTCATTGATACTTCTTTAATATGAATTATTCAACGTTTGACGTGTATACATTTGTATACTGCGGTTGGACGAACTGCGAGAACACGCGCGATACTCCTTTTTCAAGATGGCGGACAGAACGACGATCGAAATATTTTCTTTGAGTTATAAGTTTCGAATATTTTGACTCCAAATAGCGTTCTACAACTTGATTACCCGACTTGGATCCCAACGATCATTTTCTCTTCTCCAAACTGAAATCGATGGTAAATGGAAGATGATCCGATAAAATTTCGAACATTCAGAATGTTCGGCTCTGTCCGCCATTTTGAAAAAGGAATGTATGAACTATTTCCAGAAGTTATATAATAACTGTAGGCATTTTATCTCTTTAGAGGGTAATTATTTAAAATGATTGATTAAACAAAAGTACCAAAATATCTTATGTGAAATGACTGCTTTTGTTTTATTTCGGAATTGTTGGAACAAATAAATTTTGTAAAATACAACGGCACGGTAGAACTTCGAAAGTCTGAGCACAATTTTGTGTTCGATTATATCCATTATAAGAACAGTTAGATGACTTTTATGACACAGACCGACAGAAAAAAGAATAAATTTTCATAATTAACTGTCTGAGCTGGTTCGGAAAGTTTATTGCTTTGGAGACACGTTTCAAATGGTAGGAAACGAAAATAGAAAGCTGATCTACCGTTATTATATCGGAAAGAATTATTAAGGTAATATGTCGAATAAAAGTAAAATATATTGTGGTTATATAATGTACTATACTATAATAGTGTATACATTAATGAGTCGTTTGTTATTAACCCGCTGACTGCATTTGTCTACTACATTGGACGCCTACTATATCACTTTAGTGACAATATTTGGAACAGTTCTTGACGATCGGCAGTATGAACCTTTTTTAAATGACATCCAATCATTAGAACAACGGTGTCACTGTGGCCACTAGTATCGTTATTTATCGTGAGCAAACACATTGTTTATAAAAAAAAAACAGAAAAATACGTCAAATAATCTTCAATGACTATTGTTTCTTGATCTCATAAAAAAAAAAAGGTTTGTACAAAATACCGAAAAGATGCAGTAAGCGGGTTAAGAAGATAGAAAAACACATTCTTCTTTTTTTTTATTCATATTTTCATCTTGGTCACAGCTTGTTCTAACAGATATCTATTTTCGTCATAAAACTCATCTAAATCTACTCACGATTAAATAACATTTTTTGAATAACCGAGCGTCGAATTAATCGACGTTACGATAAACAATATGTTCGCGTAGAATCGAAATTCTACGTATCGTTCAGTGGGTGCTGCTGATACAGTTTAATTTACCCGTACTCGGGGGACAGGGGAAAAATCTAAATGTCACAAATCTATTTTCATAGTCTGCGTGGATCAAATTTAGAAATTGGAGGAACGTCTGATAGAGCGCGGGTTGTTCCACTATTCACGATACGCGGATCGTTGCAATTAGGTTAGAACGCGGTACACGAACCGTGTTACGGAGGAACGTTCTTTTTTTTTTATCGCTTTATGAATCTGACCAACGAACCATCACGAACCGTCATATGCCGTTGCAGTCGGGACAGAAAGTTCTACTGACCGATATTTCTTCCTCTGTCGCCGAGTAAAATTGCTCGTAAACGGAATTCGACGTGCGATTGGCCCATATGAGACTGCAGTTTTGAATAAGTGAGCACGTAATGAAAGAATTTCTTTCACTCGTTGTTACCAAACATGTTACCATCGGCTTGTATACGTATGTTTCCCGACGACTAATTAAGTCGTTTATGCGTTTACGATAAACGGTGTTGTTCTTGGAGAACGCAAATACGTACTTCCATGTGAGCTTCTTATAGCTATATTTTCCCGACACAAATTGGTCTCTCAATGAATTACTAAAGTTTCCGATTAAATGAATATATATGGAAGAAAAATTCGGTGAATATGGTGGAGCGATTAGGTTTTAGGCGACACTCGTTTGCATAATTTCTGCAAAAATTTTATTAACGTTGATTACAATAATTTTCGATTTCTCGTGTTGAGAACAAAAAAATCAATTACATGTCTGGGATAGGTTGTCATTCCGTTGTAACTAATTATGAATTCTTCGATAACGCGGAAAGAATAAATAAATTTTTATTGTAGAAATGGATCAATCGATCGACTCTGGTGAACATTTGTTGAGGTACAGTCGATCAAAAATGAATTTGTACAGACACAGGCAAATATATTATAGTAGAATGCAAAATATAAAGAGGTATAAATGTAATATAAAGTATTTGAAAGTTCACTACAACCAAAGGTAGAGTAAAGTAATATAGCAATTTTTTAAACCTGATTTTTCTTAAAAAAAAGAAATGAGTTCAAGCTACATTCATTTACAAAGCTGATGTCTTCTTTTTACCATATTCGTAATATTAAAATCAAGGTATTGGAATATCCTCTATCATTACTGAATAAAAGTGCGGCTGTTTAACCGGATACGTGTAACAGGGTAATATGCAACACGGTTAAGTACATCGAAACAAGAAAAAGTGAACTTGTATCATAAACAAAAGAAAAAACGGCTCGTACACCTGTATCACAAACGAAAGAATTATCGAGAGAATATAATTTTGGACCAAAAGGAATTTTCTGAAATAAAAGTTTTTGTACAGTATTAAGAAATTATTTTATTTAAATTAAGATTCAGAGTATTGAAATGAAATTTGTTATTAGAAAATATATACAAAAAACTTACGAATTCCAATCTTCTAAAGACAAGCAGATTAAAAATAATAATTGTTGAAAGTGTTGTATAAGTAAAGGGTTTCGATACCTGTAATCATTTGTTTCTAAAATATCGATAAAAAATAGCGATGTATCGATAGGCAAATATCGGTATACAGACACCTCTTGATTATCGTCAGGCTTGCTCTACACGATTATTGTCCAGGCGTTATCTCCACCACTGGGAGGGGGGGCTGGAACCTGACAAGTGCACACTTTGTTACCCCTTCGCTTTTATTGTCGAGGCACAGACTTCGGGCAAAACAAATTTACGAGGGTCTAAAGCAGTTCTCCCTACCACATTATTGTCCCAGCGCGGGACAATAATTGAGAGAAGTTTGTATTCAGTTATCGTTAAATATCGCCCATCACTAACCAACACATCAAACATCTCTAGTCATATCTTTCGGGCCGGTCCACTTTCTTTCAAAGAGCTCTTCGAACCCTGTTTTTCTCCGTCCGTCCTCACGCCCGCCGAAACTTTTCCCGTGGACTTTACAGCGATTCGATCTGGCACGGAGCCAAAATTGTGGCTAGATCTCTCGTGTTCCCTAGTACTACTCCTCCTCGCCGTCCGGTTCTTCTGTCTTCTTCGCTCTCTCTGTTTTCACTTAGAATAACTCGAAGGTGACCGTCGTCCTCTTCACGAAACGTAGGCCGTCCCGAGGTATATCGGCTGACCCAGGAGTGGAGTCAGTTGCACCGGGACTCCCTCTCGATCCGGGCGTTGGTCGTGTTCGTGCCGGTTACGCAATTTAAAAAACAAACGGCCTCTTAACGAGCTCGATCCGCAATGACCAGATCGACGCGATCCGCACGATCAAAACGAGCCTGAGGAGTACGTGCGAACCGTGAACACGCCTCGACGATATTGTGCCAAACGGGTTGTCTTCCTCGAATACGAAACGAAAACACGATAACTCCGTGTCCCTGTAATAGAGTGTAACAATTAACATACACACACAGACACACCTTTCTTACCTGGTAGCGTGTATCAACGGGCTCTTGGATTTCAAATGATTGTCACTAAAAAAGGAAGCCTAACTCACCTGTAAATCAGCATAACAGAGGATATGGTTGATAGTGTGGTAATGTTTGGCAGTTTTCTACCGTGATCGATAGTGTTTACCAATAAGTCCATCGGCTAGTTGACCGTTGAACCTGAGAAATCGATCGAATAGCGCGTCGGTAAGGAAGGTGTTCATATTTTCCAGGTTAGGATCCACCGCTTAGCATTGACGCTCTTAACACTTTACTGACCGGTAGCTTATTTATTTTCATTTTCTAGACTGACACCTTTAAATTTCAGTGTTTATAGTTAATACTTTTCACGAATGTATTTCGTGATGATGATCGAACTGTTTGATAATAGTACGTTGGCTGTTGATCGTTTAACCCCTTGCCATATGATGTTTTTTACGACTCCGCTCTGAAGAATTACTTTATCGTTAATATTTTCCCAGATACAGACGGAATTCTATTTTTATAGCAAGTGTTACATTTATTCTAAATCGTACGTATTAATACCAGTGGAACAATATTTCACGTCGACTCAAAGAAACCGACTAATATACATATTCATTAAATTCAGTTTGAAATCGTTATCACGTGTCTGAGTCGATATTGTAAGGCAAGGGGTTAATCTACTAAACCTATTGAACAGCAACCGGTAGGTAATGCGTTAATATCGATTTAGCCGAAGCTATCACCTGATTCTATTCTAGCACCGAAGTCCATTCCCCCGGACGAGTGAACACAGTATCCGCTATGAGACACAAAATCGCAACGAACAACACAACTGTCCGTCCGGATGCATTTCCAAGTAACCCAGAGTGTATGTAACACCCCCGTCCATATCTCGAGGACACTTTCTATGCGCGTATACTCGTCACCGTATACGTTAACGTATCGCCGTCGTCTTTTCTGCACAGTATCGTCGAAGCGTCGATAGGTCGATATAAGTTATCGAACGATCGATCGGGCCGGGCAGGGTGGGGAGGAGGAACGATCACGAGAATGCCGTCTGTGCCGTGCACGTACACGAACGAAACTTGTCCGAGCCCCGAACAACGGCCAACGTCGAGGAATGTATTGCACGAGAGAATTGGCGAGACAATGGCCGCACATTTGTCGCGACCGATGGAAACCAGCAGTGTGCTAAAAAGGCCACCATTACCGCCATGCATAATAAAGAGACCGAACAGCAGACTATTGATGCTGGACTCGAGTTCGACGAGGAGCCCGTCACCATGCAGCCTGTCGTCGAATCTGTCCTATCGGTCCAGATCGTTGTCCATTCTATCGGGAAGGCCTAATTCGCGATTGGACAGCTTGACACATTTCTCGACACCGCCCAGACGGATCTATCCACTGGAGAACGTTGCTCCACACGCGATAGAGGATGCGATCGCCAAGGAGCAGGCACCTGTTGTCTTCGACGCTAGCCTGAACTTCGTGCTGGGCTGCGAGAAGCAACGGGTCAGGCAATCTTTCAGACCAACTGCCTCTCATCTCGAGCCAACCACTGCCTCCTCGTATTTGACCTCGAAGATCTCGCAGTTCCTGCAGCGTACCGATCACATAATGGACGAATGGCGAAGTCTAGGGCACAAGAACGAAGCCGAGAATGCTCTGAGCCTGCAATCCTCGCCGCGACGAATGGACAGGTCGAGGAGCGGAGTCGGTAGAAGCCAGAGCGCCACGAATATTATGATACGCGGCTTTCAGTACTACAGCAGGGCAGACAGCGTCGCAAAAAGCTCCTGCTCGCGGCGATCGTTGTCCCGCGCCTCGGAGGACAGAACGATTTCCGACAGTATCGGTCAAGAGGTACAGAAAATTGTTCCTTCGGTCCCACGGGTTTCCGTGAAATCTACTCTTTGATCATTTGACAGAAATTTCTATACTGCGATACGAGCGGTTGAGTTAGGGTCTTGGTCATTTCACGCGGAGTAACGTTCTGGATTTTGTTAAAACTTGGATATATTATAATCTTTAGTGGTATATACAGGGTGTGCTAAAAAGATAGGACAATCCGTAACATGCATATCTAGACCCCAGAGTAAAAAAAAAAATTATTTCTCACAGAACTCATTTTGATCAGTTTATTCAGTTGTAATTTATTTAAAAAAGGTTGACACTGTTCTTCAAACAGCTGTAAAATCAACAATTTTTCAGATTTTTAAAAATCCTTCGAGATACGTTTATATATCACTAAAAACTATAACATATCCAAGTCACAACGGATTCCCAAAGGTTATTCCAAAAAGTGACATTTATGTTGTAGAAACAATGGGGCGTGGAGGATACATTCGTTGGCTGGTTTTCAATGTCATCTGGGCGGTTTATTTTGAAGGTGGTGTAGTGCCCCTTTTCCTTGATTGATGGGTTGAAATTTATTTGCGATGTGCTTTGTAACCATTAGAAAACGTATTGTCGATATTTTTTTACGAAATTAAATTTCCACGACTTTTAAAATGAACGGTTTGTTTGATTTTTTGGAATGATACATAGTGTATTTCGTTTTAACGAACGAATTCAACTGTCTTTTATAATACGATATGACAACAGGCGAAGGTGGTATAATAGGATAGAAAATTTCGGCGAAAAAGGTTCTTTTACTGTTTCGGTTTGTTTCGTAAACCTCATAAGAGGCAGATATCCACAAGGTGTACTAATTAAGGATTAGATTGATCTTGTTTTATTCCGTTAGATTCTGCGCTTTATACATTTCTCTTTTAAGGGAAGCACCCAACTTGTTTTCCCAATAGTGTAACGAATCTTATTGTCCGTAAGATGTTATTATCCGTGAGATACTAGATACAAGTGCTCAATAGTTGTAGAAATATACGAGGTGTTTCACAGGCAGTACACCAAGCGAGGGCCAGATAACGTTACACACATCATGCTAAATCTATCAGAAATAATATTGAAATTTTTCAAAATTTTCATTTGTGAAAATCTACCTCAAGTTCTTCAGAAGAAATTTCAAGAATACGTCCACTAGAACAAGAAATCTTGAAGTCCATATAGTATTATTTTCATCAGGATCTAGATCACAATTTTTTTTCTCTAACTCTTCCCTCGTGGCTTCTTCCTGTAAGGGGTCACCGAATTTTGTGACAGACGTAAAGAACAACGAGGCGCTAAGATTATCAGCACTCGCAAGAAACTGGAAAGAGTACAGATTCGATACGACCAGGCGACCTGACAATATACTTTTATTTTTATTTTTTTCGCAAATGTACAATCTGCTCAATTACAGGGTGTTAAATAAATGTGGTGGGAGCAATCTGACCTGATGTGCCGGGTACTGTCCTTTGACAGTTCACCATTAGTCATTCGACCAGGTCCGTTGACCAATTTTTTTTTTTTGAATCTTCTTTCCATTATAGGTTGACTTGTTAGTTCTCTGATTAGAGGATTACCATGGTCTGTGTAAGTGCTGAATTGTTCTTGTCTGAAACGAAACTCTCTCTTTCAGTTAAGCGAAATGTCCGCTGAGTTCGCGGAGGAACATTCGACCTCGACGTTGGCCGCGGAGAGGATCAACGCGGAGACATCGGAACGTTTGCGGTTGGAGAAAGAGCTTCAGGATGTAACCGAAACGAACAAGAATCTTCAGCAGGCGACCGAGCGTCTGGAGATGGAACTTTTGTACGCAAGAGCCGCCGATTTGAACGGGATCGTGTCCGACGTCGAGGACGGCGAGGATGGCGGTGTTTACAAGCAAAGGTACGAGCACGCCGTTAGGGAGCTCGAGTTCACCAAAAGAAAGATGGCGCAGCAGCACGAGGATGACCTCGAGCAACTGGTAGGGCTCAAGAAACAATTGGAGAAAAAGGTACACTGGCTTTTGTCATTATCGGATCGATTCCTTTTAACCACTTGCGTTGGAAGAATGCGCTGTGCACCAGAGATTGGTAAATTCATTATCTAGATAAACAGTTTCGAATAACGAATAGAAGATGAAAAAATTATTTCGCCATTTTTAATTGATTCAAATGTGGAAACTCCGATTTTATAATAATATAACGATTGTTCTTGAATGAACAGACACTTGGCAAACAATTGTTTAATCTCATTAACTGTTTAAAACTCAAGATGACGATCTTATATACTTCTGATTTTCATTACGTATTCTTCGAATAAAGTTATGTCCAACTCTGATATGCACGTCGATTACCAACTGTCTCAAATGTGAGAAAAATGGTAAATTTTGTATTATTATAGGATCGAGAGTGTTCTTTTAAGTTTAGATTACAGACATAAAATATGAGACCCCATTTAAGTTTGATTAGATATCGGGGAATCGAAAGGGAAAAATTAAAAGTTTTTGTGCTACTATCATTCGTTTATATTTATAGGGTGAGTCACTTAACTACATACCACCTAAATTTACTCCTAAACTACTTGTTGTATAAAACAATGTTTCAAACAAATTCATCAGCCTTCCGGGGGTTAATTCAAATTTTTTAAAAACATACATTTCATACTTTAATAAACTTAAATCTTCAAAAAGTATTGTCAGAGATGTTTCCAAAATCCGTATTTATAATCCTTATAGACTGTGTAAGTAATGGAATAATTCGTAATAAAAATTGTCACAGACGTATCAGTTTTTCACGGAACAAGCATTAAAAAAATTTAGTTATAAAAGAAATGCTTTTCGAAACAGTGGACAAGTATCGAAACGAGTGTTCGAACAAATTAATTACTTAAACTTCATAGGTATTATCTTCTTTCACTGTTATATATATCTCGGGAAATGGACATAACGTCATTTTGTTACGAAAAATCGATGCTTTAACCCTTTGCCTTACAATATCGAGTCAGACACGTCATAACAATTTCAAAGTGAATTTAGTAAACATATATATTATTAGTTTTCTTTGGGTCGACGTGAAATACTGTTTCATTGGTATTAACATTTATGGTTTAGAATAAATCTAACATTTGACATAAGAATAGAATTCCTTTTGTGTCTGGGAAAATATTAACGATAAAGTAATTCTTGAGAGTTGAAGTCGTAAAAGAAATCGTATGGCAAAGGGTTAATTTGTCCTCGGCCGAGTTTTGCAAGTCAAGGGACGTTATAAATGCATAAAAATCCGCTGTTTAGTCATAACGGAAGAACACGAATGATATAAATAGCGTGTAACGTAATAACGTTTAATCTTTACAATACTGTAGTTAACGGATGCTTACGAAGAGGTCGAGGAACAACGTCAAGTTGTCGGACAATGGAAGCGGCGTGTACAAAAACTGAACGGTGAAATGCACGATGTGAGGCTTCTACTAGAAGAACAAACGGCTAGAAACAATCTTCTGGAGAAGAAACAACGCAAGTATGTGGCTTGTAACATTTGCAACTTCACTTTTTACGCCCCCCCATTTACATATCACGCTATTTCAGTCAGCACCGGTATTGATTGTTATTTATTATATTTATTTACGGTACGAATTTGTTATCACAATTATAGAGACATAATATATAGAATGGTAATGACTTCGAGTCGACTCTAAACCGTGTTAATAAAAAAAAAATGTATACAATGTATACTCGAATAAAAATAACTAAAGTCAAATGAAATCAACACACTCGTCGCGTAATATTCAATTTTGCTGTTTAAATTGCCATTCAGTTTGCGATCGTAGTTGCTCTGTGTTTCACTTTCAGTATTATCGAACGATCGTGCAATTATTTATGAAACGTACGGGGGAACAGGTATGTAAGGTCAAAGACATCGTGATTCCAATTGGCGCGTGACGTTCACGCTCTGTAAAGTAATCGGAAACGCCAAATGGCGTGACATGCAAGCGAACAAGTTAAAAGTAACATCGTACGCAAAGCATTTCTGCGATGACAAGTGATATTCTTCGAGCAGGGTGGTCTCTCATAACCCATTAAGGATCAATCAGTGAACTAATACGATTTTTTACAATATGTATAAGTTTTTTTTATTCTTCGCTAAATTACATACCCTAGGTAGAAAAAGAAATAGCGATGAAAATGTTATTAAACAAATTTCTGGATTCTTATTTTAATAAGTTAATTGACTCGATTTTATATATAACATTTATTTATTGGTATTTATTGGTACATTCACCCTACCAAACCGAAAATGTTTAATTTCTGAAAAAATTATTAGTATTAAAAATGTAATATTAGAATTATTCGCGAAGTTTCTATGGTATTGCGTTTCCGTTTTTACATGAAAACATGAGACGTTTATTTCTGTAGTAACGAGATCGCGTACGTTGAGCCGTTTCGAAGAATACCACGCGTGAAAACATCGGCCGCGATTTGTTAAAACACGTTACCGAATTTCCATGGTATTGGGCGAAGAACCTGCTCTATTCTCATTTCATCCGTCGGCAACAAGTGTTTCTGGCGACTCGCCAGGTCGCTAACGTTGCGCGTCCGACGACATCAACGTTTAGTCGAACGTTCGGTGGGTGCATAAACTCCGAATGATTGCTCCGAGAATAGATCGACGATCGGCCTGAAACTAGGAGCTCGTTACTAATTTCGAGGGTGAAAAAAAACGAGCTTGGTTCACGAACGAAAGAAAAAAAAACTAAAAAGAACAATCTCACAAATTTTTATGGCCTTCGTACTGTTTTATGTATAGATCCGATATATTCTAAAGCGCACCATTTCACAGTTAATCGCAATTATACCGTGAATGCTTAGGAGCAATTCATATTTTGATGGACTTTGATTTCTGAAAATGGAAAATTGAATAAAAATGTTTTATCTGTGTAAATAATTTTAAAGCCATGTGTCAAACTGTATTAAAGTTATTTATTATCATTTGTTATTAATTTATTATTTATTTATTGCTATTTATTGTCAGAATTATTTATTATTCATTTCCTGCCTTGAGTTTCACGTTGCATCTATGCCAGAAACGCATTGAATCCATAAGTTAATTGTTACATTGTCAATGTTTATACATTTATAGTACATGTCAATTTGAAAAAGGAAACCAACGGGAAATGAAGACTTGAATTATATTCAGTAAAATCGTTTATTTTAGCTGTATTCCATTGAAACCCAGGTCATTTCTATTAGAGTCATTCCATGAAAATTTGATTTTCCATAGGCATTGACGGTGTACTAGTTGTGATGCAGGGTGAGCTGTTAGGTACAGAATAATCTTAGTACGTTTAAGATTTCTAAAAAGAAAAAGCTGTCATAATACCAATCTGAGAGTAATAACAAACGATACTAGATATATATATTTTTTTAGTATGTTTTCTTTTCCCAATAATTCTGATGAACTCTCAGACCTCCCATTTTCTTCTCCGATAAATACTACTATAAATCGTATAATTTCAAATTTATTTAATTAGGTTTGATTCGGAAATGCAGAATTTGCTGAACGATATTCGACAAGAGAAAGCTCAACGAGAGAAACTGGCCAGAGAAAAAGAAATTGCGCTCGCTGAAAAGTTTACCATAGAGCAGAACTTAAGCGTGAGTAGATGTATACACATTTATCTATACTTTCTATTAATTCTTAAGTATTTTGTTTTTTGTTTTGAATTTTCACATCATCGAGCATTTATTCTGACATTCGTTGGCATTTTCGTGCAGGACGCGAGGCTGGAGATCGAGATAAAAGAGGAAAGACTGCGCACGCTCAGCCATGAATTGGAAGAGTTGACATTCGGCGGTAAAACGGAGGAAGAAGTGGCGCAGTTGAAGAAGGCGAAACACGAGCTAGAGAAGAGGGTGAAGGATCAGGAAGAGGAGCTCGATGATCTCGCCGGTCAGGTACAGCTTCTCGAGCAGGCGAAGTTACGGCTCGAGATGAACTTCGAACAGCAACGGAAAGAGATGCGCAAAGAGATGCAACAACGGGACGACGAACTGGAGGACATACGCGGCAACGTGCTGAAAAAGGTGAAGGCGTTGGAGTCGCAATTAGAAAATGAATACGAGGAGAGAACCATTCTTCTGCGGGAGAAACACGAACTGGAACGTCGAGTGGTGGCCATAGAAGATCAAGATCGAACAGATCGCGCTGCGGAAGCCGAAACTGTGTACAGGTATATCTATAATGATGCACAGACTGCGGACATTTACGCGAATATCCAAGTTTCGAAAGCCATTTTATTGAAATTTGAGTCACAACAAATTATTTCCTGCAATAAATGGAGAGTTTATTGAGTTAAACAGATTACCCATCGGCTGCTATTGAAAATAGATTCAGTAGATTCAACGATCAATAGCCAAGGAACTATTATTAAACAGATCAATCACAGTAGCAAATTATATTCATAAAAAATATCAAGAACTCTAATGGAATAACATAACACTTTCTTCTACGACCCAGATCTAAGGGTAAAATCGATGGAAAATTTTATATTACTTTTTGTCAAAAATGTTATGGTATTAATTATTATTATAACTATTGTATTCATTAATTGGTTCTTGCTTGTTGATCGTTGGATCTGAGAAACCTATTAAGTAGCCACCGGTCGGTAATGTGTTAATCGGCGTCAAATTGGCACACGTGACCCAGGAGAAGTGTATTACAAGATTATATTTCATTCATTGGTGTGTTAGGTTGAAGAGGGATCTGAAGAGGACGAAAGTGTTGCTCAGAGACGCTCAAACCATGCTTGAACGATCGAAGAGCGACTCAACAGGCAAAGCGGCTTTACGACAATTGAAGAATCAGATAGAAGATGCCGAGTGCGCTCGTGCGGCCGCGATTAAAGCGAAACAGGCGATCGAACAGGAATTGAATGAAACCCAAGCGTCGCTAGAAGAAGCACTACGGCAACGATCCGAGGCTGAGGATCGTGCTAACGTGGCCAATCGCGAGAGAACCGATTTGCTTTCCCAATTGGAAGAAAATGAAGAAGAGCTCGCAGAGGTGAGCGAATCTTATTTATTTTTTCATACGGTCTCACTCAGAATTCTTGGAATACTCTTAACAAACATTTTGAGTGGTTTGAGGGACATTAAAAAAATATCTTTTTCTTACAAAAAGTAAATGTTGAGTCCAGTTTTAAGATAAACTCACCTGTTTGGTAGATTAATAATGGAACCACTGCATTGCTTATAATGAATTAGAGCATTACATATGACTACGCTTTTAGGTCCAACGTATACTCTAAGACTTTCATTATCTTTATCATATAAACTACAACTGTCAGACTGAATAGTCAATTGTCAGCGGAACAGGGGCAATTGCAAGAGGCTCAGGTACAAATCGTCGCTCTGGAGACGGAGAAGAATTCATTGAAAGATCAACTTTCGGAATTAACGCAACGACTGGAGTCTGTCGAGCAGTTAGGCGATCCCACGGCGAATAGCCTAGCGACGAGACGCCTCGAGTTCCGCGCCAAAGAGCTTGAAAGTAAATTAGAGCTGGAACAAACGACAAGAGCACGCTTGGAAGTAAGTAATCGTTTCTTATATTTGACCATTTTTTTTATGTATTTACAGCATACACGACTGTTCAATATTGTACAAAAGTTGCTTTATGTGAAACACAATGGAATTTTTAACGGAGAAAATACATCTCTATTTATGTTCAATTTTTGCAAATTAGTTCAAAACAATTCATAAGAAAATTTTATTTGTGAGTTTAACAGCACTTCATTCAAAAGTATTCGATATTTGATTTTGACTTCTATAATATTTTCTGTATAAAATGACCTTCCTGCAACGCCGGACTAAGGGGAGTCTAGGGGGCCTGTAGCCCCGGGCCCCACATTCCAGTGAGGCCCCCTTCCGAACCTTCTATTTCGTCATGATTAAACGTTATTTCATTTTATTTAAAATAAATTTCAATTTTCGAAGATTTATGTATTCTGTTGTGCTGTATTACAACCCCGGCCCTCCGCTTTCAAAGCAAGGGGGCCCCCGAAAATCTGATAGCTCTGGGCCACAAAAAATCTTTATCCGGTCCTGCCCTCCTGATAAGGTTAGTTAATTTTATCAACTGTATATTTTATTGCAGACTCAAATAACAAGGTTAAAGGAGAACGTTGAAAAGTTGCAAATCGAGTCAGCATCGCTGAAGACGAAAGTACAAACTGCCCAAGAGAGTGCAAGACGATTGCAAAGATCGTTACGCGAGGCAAGGGAAGAAGCTGCTTCAGCGTTGACGCGCGAACAAGAATCGACACGAGCTCGTCGCGAATTGGAGAAATGTCTCGAGGCTGCGGAAGCGGAGACCAAAGTCGCCAAAGACGATCTACGACTAGCACTTCAAAGAATTGATGATCTACAAAGCGCGATTCAAGGCGACCTTGATTTGGACTGTAGCGAAGAGGCAACGACTGAAAACAGTGATAGGTAATATTTTAGTGAACATGTGTTATTGTTCACATTTAGCAAGATGGCTTAATTATAAGTCATTATATCTTCTAACCGATAGTATAATTTGTGTGTTTGATTACACGTAGATATTTCTTTCTGTTTAAAAAGTTATGTTTTTTTTTCTACATGTTTTAGTAATAACTTAACCCTCATCTGTCCCTCATTTTCTCAACTTAATTTGCCCCTCGGTGTCAAAATGATACAGCGGTACAAAATTAATATAACGAACGAATAAATAGTTAAATTTACAAATTCTTTCAAATAAAAGTCACAGAGCTTCAGCTAAATTTACCTCCAAATGACAGAATACCATCACTTCTTACGAGACAAAAGTATGAAATTGATACAAGGGGTCGATGAGGGTTAAAATGCACATAAAACTAATGAGACCCTGGTTAAAACGTTCTTTCCTTTTTTCAGTGATTGATCCGAACCATTGTCGGATTTCGGATCCGATGAGAGCAAGAATGAAAAGTCGACTGCTATACCTACTGTCGAAGAACTCCCCGATGAATCGTTGTTCTTTGATGCATCGAATATTGATTAGCGTGAACAGGAAACATGGTGCAAGGTAAAACATAAAAGATGAATGCTATGGAGGGTGATCAGGAGAGAAAGATCGATATTCTGGAAGGTGGTTATATTATTAGTCATTGAGATGAAAGAAAAGTTCATATGACTAATCACACCGACCAAGATCATACAGAGTAGATTTACAGCAAATTTGGAAAAATACAGTAGCTGATGCCAGTGCACTTCATCACTTGTACGTGACTGTCTTTTGTGATGTTGAAAGCATGTTAATGTTCCTTTATGTGGGCAGTAACATTTAGAATGTGTACCAATTCGTATAGGGTTTCTACTTGTCCCTTATAGATACATTCTAACCTGTATAATCGAAAATTTTAAAGGATAAAATGTCAAATGTTATTATTAACAAAAAGAACCAATTCTTTCTCTATGTACATTCTTCCCCGGTTAAGCGTATTACACTTAGAGGCATCCTATGTTCTGTTACAACAAACAGTAACTGTTTAATAATTAAACCTCTTAGAAGCCAAACTAATCAAATTCATTTCATACAGTTGATCAGCTCAGCCAATACGTGGCTCAGTTACTAGATTGAGGTTAGCTACATGTGCAAATAGAAAAAGAGAGCGAGAGAATGTATTGGTAAAAATTTTCTCAAAATATAACGGAAACTGCTGGAACTTTAGCGTTGCATGGGTAATAATTAGGAATTATTTTACGAGTATTTGATTGTCCGACGAAACATTCGCTCCTGTCCTATTGATGGAGACAAAGAGTAAGAGTAATGATGCATAGACTGCGAATTTTACGCATTTATAGCATAAGTCACCATGTAAAGTACAATAATTTAGGAACTTCTGTAATGTTTCATACATTTTTTATTTAATGTTTAACGTAATGAAACAATTAATGGAAGAAATGTATTACAATATAATATAATTATATTCTATACAAATGTGGATTTGTATAAACATATGCAGTCTAGTGATAAATGAGAGAGAATGTGAGCCGGATGATATGGTTGAGATAATACCATTATAAAGAAGTCGACAAAGCCTGATTAGAAGGGGCGAACAGTATACATTCGCTCACGCTTTTCTATCTATGCGTTAGACTGACCTCGATTGAAACTACCAAACATGTACTTAGATGGGGATGTCAAAGTAACACGCAACCGGGGACGTGTGTAATAGTTTTATACTATTAATTATACAGTAATGTGATTTTATATTACAGACACCATCGATCTAAGTCACCATTCAGAAATGTCTACACGTTCATATGAACTTTTTCATATTGATTAGACTGCGGATAAGCAATAACATCATAATTGCAACAAAATAATATTACCACAATTAACGATCATTACCTTAGTTTATTCTGAACTTAGTAAATCCGGTAACAGATGAAATACACTGTTTATACGTGTTGATTTTAATGAAATAATTTTGTTGAACATCAAGCGTTCGCTCAAACATCCGCAGTCTAATAATTAACAGTGCCGTCGCCTTACTAAATGTTGACTTTCGCCTTTGAATTACTCTGTACGCGTACACATGCTAGGTTAGGATAGACCGAATTAGTTTTCTGATTGTACCAGCGTCACATTCGCCGCAGCCGAACGATATCAAAACATTTATTTTCGCTATTCTTGCTAAATTGCGAAATATCTTTTATAAGACCCAACGGCGCAGTATCGCGCGGGGAATTTTTTTTTTAGACGAAGAGAAGAGCTAGGAGGGAGATCACATCGCGCTTTGTAATCGACGTTGCTCCGCGCGCGTGATGTTGCTGGCGGCTCTCGCTGTTGTCCAAAAAACCATTAACAAAAATATCTAGGTGCTAACTATGTAATCCCCGGTCAACGTGAACGTAAATGGCTTTTGTACTTTACTTTGTGACGCGCGGTCCGACGACACCCTGTCCGTAGAAAGTAGTTTTCGTCGACGTTTCTCGTTGCTCCAGTCTTCCAGAGGATTACGAACTTCTGGACAGGGTAGTATCGCGTCGTGACGCACGCGTGCTCACGTATAACAACCGCATCATAGCCTTTCAATTAACATTGTATACGTGCCGTTATGCGAAGAGCGTAAATGAAGACCGCGAGAGACTACAATACTTCTTTGTAAGCAGATGAAAAACGTGCTACATGATTTTTAACGTTTCGCTACTACGAGTCAACTGTGTTGGTTACTCTTTACAATTTGTATTATAAGATACGAGTCACAACTTCTTTGGTTTCTTATAAAGACGCTCGTGTAACTTATTGCTTTGTAAAATGCAGATACCTTATTTAATTAATTGGGCTCTTATCCTTTTCTTTTCCAAATCCTACGAAGAATGAAAATCCTTTCCTTCTTAATGCGTGGGTTTTCTTAAGGAGAATATGTATTATTAATAATATATGTATCATTAATAATATGCATACTTTTTGTTAGTGTATTGTGGATAAAATGTGTGCTACGAAAGAGACATGCGTAGGGATTGGAAGTTTATTTTGAAGACTTATTTCGAAGTTGTAATGAGGTAAGATGTGAACACTCTAAGGAGCCAATGTGGATAGCACAGGTAAGATATTTTACAAATATAAAAATTTATACAGTTAAAAAGCTTTAACAGAATTTTTGTTGCTATTTTTAGAAACATATACTGACACTTTTACTTCTAAACTTTTGTAGATGAAAACATTTATAGTTATTTATGTTGCGACCCAACGCAGGTAGGCGATGGTCGTAACGTTCGTCGCGTCTTGGGCCGCCGACACGGTTACCAAATCGTCATAAACAGGAATTCCTGGACAGCTGCACATCACGTGCAAAACATTCGCTGGACCGTTCCTTATATTTCGGCGCTGACTTCCAGGAATCCAAGTAACAATACACACACCAAATCCCACTTCTTCCAACTCATATTACCACCTCTTGAACCACCTACACGAACCAAAATTCTGAATTTTCCACCAATCACGAGTCGATCCATTTCAGCAAGCATCTATACATTCACTCATTCACCAGAACACATTCAACCGTCAAGAAGAACACATCAATCAGTCGGAACACAACCAGTACATACAACCGGCGAGCGAATTCGGCTTCCGCTAAGGGAAAAAGTGACGTAGGAGAAGGGCCTCCTACCATGCTCCTGCCTGTTGGTATTTGGAATTACTGATATTTATGCCAAATTAACATTCGATTTAACATTTATTTCAGTACCTGGAATAAATTTACCAAGTGCTAGGCGACTTTTCTTCTACGCCACTTTTTCCCCTGATGGAAGCCGAGTTTGCTCGTGGGTGTACATACACAAACATCACATTGTTAAGTTTATATCAAAGTCTAAGTGGGTTACTAAGTTATGTCAATCACCTAAAACATATATTATTAGAAACCATCACACCATCTTTCCAAGGAGTTCTGCGGTATTAATTTACCAAAGAACAGTAGCTAATCGCGAGTACGCCACATCAATTTACATATGTCTAAAAAAATAGATTTCTATTTTCGTCACTTCACAGAGTGAATCCAGTCTCTTCCGAAATAGAAATTAGATAACTCAAGTGTATTTTGAATTCACAAGAAGGCAAACACATTTTCTTTTTATTTTTTGAACTACCTACAAATTTTAAACCGTTTTAGAGGATATTCTTATAAGTTATAATACTTTTCGGGAGTGTTATACAGTCTTTAATAAAATTTTATGGAGCCATTTATTTTATTTTCGATCTAATCAAATCTACAATACAAAAAATTGCAACCTTTTGATTATATCGTTCTTAAAATTTAGTCGATAAAAATTGAATTTCGAATAAACATCTGCTGTCTAGTTACAATGAATACTACATTGCAATCTGAAGATTAATAGGTACTATGTTATTGGACATTGTATACTAAAGATTGATTTACAGCTGCAAACATTACGTAATCCATACCACGATAAAGCATCTGAGAGCCATAAACGTGTCGTGTTACATGGGAAGAAAATAAGTAGTATAAAAAAATTGCTTAGTATAATATAACCAAACTAGAATCATCCTTGTGTGTATAGTTTTCCTGACACAATTGTAATTGAATGTTGTATAATTATAAATGTGGACTGGACAGCAATTAATAATAATCGGATTATCGATAATTGAATGCATGTTTCTCGAGAAAAATCCCATTAGAATAAAGCTGATTAAACAGAATAAGGTGACGTAGTATACACAAGTACCAAGATTGAAAATTCAAGACTAGATTATTTATTGTCATTATCATTATGTCATAATAAATGAATGTTCTGCTTATGAGCCAATTTGAAGAACCTAGAATTGATCATTGGACCGTGGATGTTTATGCAAAATCAAATTTTTATAAGTTAATTTACGATAGCGAAAATTAAATGGTTCAATTGCTTTATTAAGGATCGTACTATGTTAAAATAGAACAAAAGTTTATTTGTTTTTTTTTTCTTATTGCGTATTTTATGCACAATCAAATTTTCAATAAGTGAAATAAAAACAGCAATTTATTCATTAAACGTAATTCATTTTGATAAATCTTTAATTATTCTTTGGTGGAAATATAGAATAGTAAATTATTTCAACTTAATTTCTTGCTTACTGAATATGTACAATTAAAATCGGACATTTTACCAATTAAGTTTGGCCCAGTCGTTTACGCGATAGAAGGTTAATATTAATAAATGAAATTTGTGTGTTATGTTAATTTACCGTACTGAAAATATTAATGGTAAAATTTATTGATTGCCGAGTAAATTTAATGTTATGCGTTGTGCTGATAATGCGAAAGTTAGACGCATTTGTTACACGTTGTAAGCTTTCCTTATCTTAACCACCCACAGAAAGATAAAGTTATGTTGCAGTATACCCGAGTATCAAAGATTCCTCAGTGAAAATCATTTTATTAACGCGACATACAACATAATTCGACATTTAAAAGTTGTAACGCTGCAAATTCTTTTTTCAAATCTTAATTTATTTCGTTCTTACAACACTTAACTAAATAAACACTCACGGACTTGTATAAATTAGAGACACGCTTTTAAAATATTCTTTTCTTTATTGTTAATTAGAGCTATTCCGTCGTACAGTTATAGTGCTTCATAGCAGTGGTTATTACTTTCGAACAAAACTCCAATTTAGCTATTCAATTTCCCGTAATAATGTACGGGTTTGTTCCTTGTCCGTTTTACTTCAATTGTGTGCCTTCTTAATCTTTTCGACACCCTTATATAATAGACGAAGGCTCCAACATTTGGTCGAGTCCACTACGTCACCGAGGTGAAGAACAATATCGTCATAAACTTATACCATTGGGTCATTCCCGCAACTTCGGCGCGGTCAAGCCAAACTTTGCACGTATTTTTAATTATTTTCAGGCATTTCTTTCCGAAGGAACTTTTTCCTCCACCACGAACCTCGGAAAATTCGGGAGATATCCCTACTCCTTCAGGGTTTAACCACAGACTAGATATAAGAATAGACCTGATTAAATCTTATGGGACTCGGTATCCCACGAAAATCACGCTGGTTTGAGCGCACCTCTGCATAAATGTTTCCGATGTCAGGAACTACGTTCGACACCGTGATAACGCACAGCACACACATTCCCGTGACTGCATATAGCGATACATACATTATTGCCCCAGTTTCGCTAGCAAGGAATGGAATTCTGAAATGGTACGGGGGCTTCTGATGCCCCCGAAGCATGGGACAGAAAATTACATTGCATGTTAGGTCTATTCTTATATCTCATCTGTGGTTTAATCAATAATAATTCGTTATTTAGGAAACGTTTTTGACAAAGCATATCGCCAACGAGGGCGAAGTGCGACGTCAGAGGCGCGCCCGGATTTTGTAAATATCAGACTCAAACCAGAACTCACCTGGTCAACACCACATACACGCACACAAATACACAATATTGTAAATACAGTTCATTAAGAAACAATCAAAGTGTGCTTTATTTTGGTTGCATTTCTAAGAATCGCGTGCGTGACCTAACAAGAGCAGAATGTCGATTATCTACAAAACAACTAAGCATTATTTTGAGAATAAAAGCTATTTTATATAGTTATTATAAATTTCTACAATTGTTTTTAGTTTATTATAAATTACTACAATTGTTTTTAGTTTATTATAAATTACTACAAATTGTTTTTTTTTCTTAAAGTGATACACTATTTATAACAATTATTCGATCTGTGGTAATAGTTATGTACATTATAGTACTCAGTTTCAAGATGGCGGCGAAGGGTAGTTATCGAAGTCTATGAATACTCAACATTATTATATCCAGACTGTCTTTCTGTCGTCTTCATTTTCAATTTGTATGAGAGAAAACTTCGAGAAATCAAATTAAGCGAATACGATGGGTAACTAAACTGTAGGACGCCTCTTGATTCTAAAAAGTTGCAAAACTGATGATTCGAAAAAAGTTTTCGATCGTCGCTTCTTCCGTCTTCTAGATGATCTAGTATTAGATACGTTTTCAGTGTTGGTATAATCGTTACATAAAGTGTATTTCTTTAGAATTAAACTACTCCGAATAATTCATAAAAACATTATCATAGGAAGCGAACTCATTATTCCAGATGAAGAGAATGAAAGATAAAAAACCGGTTGAACAAATATGAGAATTTCAATTTTATAAAATGTAATGATCTTTTCGAATTAGTGGACATGTGTACAACTGTTTAATCGGATTACTTATTTAAACATCAGGTTGAAATTCTTAGATCTCTTGTCATGTACCATTCAAATAACATTTACACTACTCGAAAAAACATCATTACATTGCAGAATAGTTAACTTTATTAGAGTAAAAATAAAATAAAAATTGCACTAAACATAATTCAAATTCTTGCTTCATTAATCTTTGAGTATTTATGCGTACTATAAACATATACAATCTGCAGTCTAGTTATCAGTGTCTTACAAAAAAAACTGTTTTAATTTATCTTCGAAGACTTAAAACAAATGGCATAGATAATATTAACTTCGATAGTGCGCAGACGTCGGAGATCTCGATGCGTGGTACCGGAGAACGGTATTCTAATGTGAGCCTCGAACTGGACTCCAGAGAGTAGAACACTCACGAATCTGATTTAAATCACTTGAAATTTTCATACGTCAAGACAACAATAACAAAAAATAAGGTACAGAAAAATGTAAATGAAAGTTACATACCTTATAATATGAAAAACAGAAATATAAAAATATAGAACTCGTCAGGAAATGTCATTCATGGGATCCTGATATTGTTCGATACAATACGATCAATCTTCACTATGCTCTCTGATATACTACTCTTTTTTTTAACGCGCTAAAACCTTTCCAAAGTGTATGTAGTACACTATAAATGTAATAAAAATCTGTAGCTTATTTCACAACTTCCCTTTTTGACTCTGCTACGGTCTTCGGGTCTATTTCGACCCAATCACGTTTCCGTTCCTTTAACAGTGTCACGTCTTTGCACATTTTTACAAATTAATCTAAATCCCGACTTTTCACAAATGTTCTTCGGTTTGCAAAATTTAGAAGGAATTCGTTACTGATCTGTGAGTGTTTTTCCTTCCTCATCATTATTTCGAATACATATTGTATAACTGGACTGAGGACTGTAGCAGAGTTAATGAGACGCATGACTCCAATCTAACAATAGACTTAGAGTACTTAATCTAATGCAGTTTAACACTAGAACTACCGACGATAAATACATATTTGCTTCGATCGATGGATAAACGTGAAAAATTTTTGAAAATTTAGAAATTTAGAAATTGACTAATTTCTTCACGTTCATATCGTAATAAAAGATGCAAAAGATCTGAGAAAATATATTGTCAAGTCACTTTACTTGTTTGGTAGTTCTAGTGTTAAAATAATTTTTTATATTATTTTTTCGTGTAAACTTATTAATATAAAACGTAGACCAATATATTAATATTCTTATGTGCCTGTTGCCATCCAGGGTGTTTGTCTTTTAAACTATGTGCTAACCAAGTTTTCACTATTTCATTTCAAACAAATCGATGTTTTAATACCTCACTTGGCTCCTTTATTCTTCCAAAACAAACAATTCCTCTTACAGAACTATTTTCTTATACCAAGTATATAGTTCCAAATATTCAGAGAGAATCTTTGTTAGCCCAATCGTGAGAGGTTAATTTTTACCCCCTATACATGGCTGTCAACTATATAATGCCTACCACAAAATTTTACAAAAAGTAGTGAATTACTTAAACCTGCGTGATAGTCTATATCAGTTGAAACGATGTAAAGCACACGCAAGACCTGAAATACCATCGGTATACTACCTTTTCACCAAGAAATAACACAAGAATAGCGAAACCTTAACCCCTTGCCTTATAACATCGAGTCAGTCTCGTGGTGACGATTTTAAAATGGATCCAACAGTCATATATATTATTCCTTCTTTTTCTTTGAGTCGAAATGAAATACCACTTTGTTAGTGTTATTTAACTTTTAGAGTGAATCTACATTCGCTATGAGTACAGAATTCCTTTTGTTCCCGGGATACTACCAACAATAAAGTAATCTTAGATACCCAGTCAGCCAAACTCGTCAAGTCAAATTTTGTTCAATGCCTGTTATAAAGTTATGGCTACAAGTTTGATACAAGATTTGCTACAAACACCTTGCGCGCACATTGGCAGCAACATAGGCAGCAAATTGACAGCAACATATGCAACAAATTGGCTTGCGCAAACCTTGTACCGGTTTTGCCCTCAATTTGACATAGATCCTGCAAGACATTTTTCATTGATATAGCGTTGCCTACAAAACCGTAATCAAATTCGGAAATAGATGGCTATGGTTTTTTAGACAACATTTGTACGTTATTGCTGGCAACTTGCTCGGAACTTGTACACAATTGGTTATTAGGGTATCGCAGACATGAAGAAAATCGTAAGGCAAGAGACTAAGCTCTTAAAGAGGGGTTAAATGTAAAGCTCGATGAGCTGGGAAAATGTCGATCGTATTCCCGGAAGCTTAAAACCCATTTTCAAAGTTATATCCGTCCACTGAAATGTTTCTCGTCGACGATAAACGTCAGAGGACGCGGCGCGGGGGAGAACGACTTCTGATGCAGCGCAGCGTGTACTTACATATCGCGTTCAAGAAATTCATGTCTTTCGGTCGCACGGTGTGCGCTGGTCTCACAGTCAACCGGTGGCTATTTCAGCAGTCGATACACGCTTATAAATACCGCTGGTGGCGGGCAGGAGGATCCATTTACGTAGACGTTGAGGGTAAATTCACGCGGCGAACAGAATCGAGAACAGAGTGTTGCAAAAGTACGTATCGAGGTGGTTCCAACTCTCTGTGACTTCCCCACGTGACCCCGACGAATCGAAATATGAGTGCGGTGCGTGTGTACAAGAGTATATACATGTGCAGACGATCCGTCCCGCGCGTAGTTAGATAAAATCCGTTAGCATGATAATTTTCTCGTAAAATCGATATATCGATATACCGTGGTACAGCACTTGTGGACGCGACACATTGTGATTACGAACGTTCGCGAATCATCATGACAGGGACCACCGAGACACTGGTGAGTATTAATCAATTTTGCTGCGTTTCCCGTGTTGCTTTTTGGTGGCCTTTGCGCGAGGAAACTTCGACTGCGTCGGAAAGTCAGTTAGGTTATGTTACCAAACACGAGGCCTGACGAGGCCGCGTGTGATTGAACAGGCGCTCGATCGGAAACCTATCTGGTTGTGTTTTGTGTGTGTGTGACGTGAATGCACCATTTCGATACGAGGCGTCTGTGTAGATGGAGTGAGGTGGATAACCGGTATGAGACTTTCTTTTTATTTATCACGTTTGAGTTACTACTGTAATTTTCTTGTGGACTGGGTCGTCTCTCGGTTTAGTAAAGAAAATTTTTGATCGATTTTAAATAATATTTCATTTTATGTGAATAACGAGGAACGATGATATTTCAAGTTAAGTGACAGTTGACGAGCTTAATGATAATGGTGAACATCGTAATCGGATTCGTGGTAATTGTAAAGTGTTTTGAAGAGACTAGGAAAGAAATAGTGAAGCTATTTATGACTCTATTAAATCAAACGTAATGGTTGTTTTTCATATTTTCGTACGGTTTACGCGAAGATGAATTTGTATTCTTAGGGATTACAATTTTACTGTGAAAGAAAATAATGGAGAACCTTGAAATGCCTCGAGACATGGCGATAAGAAATAATTTTTTTTTCCATTGCAGCATTTGTCTTTTCGAAGTGAATTAAGTGCATTTGTTTCTCGCGCGTTTTTCTATGTACATTGCAATTGCGATTATTGGAAACATCGTTTATCGGAATAGAGAGCGAGTCGGAAATGTTTTATAATAGTAGTACATAGTTCGGAAGATTGTGTGTACGATATTACGCGAAGCACGGGATAATATACCATCTACTGCTCTTACAATTAGATGAGCTTGAAGTAAATTACGCAACGCTTTAATTGACAACACGGATAGATATTGAATTTGAGAGTTGTAATTGTGATGACAATGATTAAAAACGCGTGAAGGTAATCTAGCGTATAAAATTATGGACGGAGGTGATACATTGTTTTATCTATTTTACCGAGACCGTGTACTATCATTACGTTACGACGCTGAAAAATGCATGAAGTGCTGTACGAAAATATTTGAATTTATGAAATATTTAAAATATTGATAATCGTTATACTTAATTTAAAATATTTTCAGTATATTGTTTTTAAATATTTAAAATATTTTTTTCTTTAATTTTATAATTTTTTAAGATTCCATTGTGATGTACACGACTTTAAAGTTAGTCATATCTTTATCTTTCTTTTTACGCAGACACTGCATTTTTGTAGAATAATGTGTTATCCATGCTCTATGAACTTGAACCATCAGCAGTCCCAATGCCCGCGTTGAAGCGTACCTTTTCCTACCCTACCTATTCTACTACTATTAAAATGAGAAAAAATCGTTTATAAAATTATTGCAATGACTTAAAATTAAAAACAGAACAGTAATTGAGAAACATATATTTTCACACAATAAATAGTAGTTGATAAGTTATTGTTTCTATTTGTGGTGAATTTTACAAATCTGGAGCTGTACTCGACTTGCAAAACAGTAATGAATGTAGGTACAAAATTTGCAATAAATCGCTCATTCATTGTCGAATTTGTATCAAACGTGCACCAAACGATATAGATTTTTTTTAGCGAATATTACACAACTATTAATAGATTAATATTAATAGATTTAAATGATAAAATAACTTCGATAGAGGAGGGACTAATGCAAAAATGTATCGAAGTTGAAGGACATCACTTTGAGCATTCATTGAAATGAATTGTTCGCAATTAAAAAACAAATGAGATACTAAAGGTGCTTACTTTAGGTGGGACACCCTGTATACAGCACATTCTTACGTTATATTAAAGTTTAAGTGTGTTACGAAGTCGTGTCAGATCATTTAAAACCACATACGTATCATCGTACACCATCACACCATCTTCCCAACGAGCTCCGCGGTATTAATTTACCAACCAGCAGTGGTAAATCGCGAGCTTATCGCGAGTATGTCACAACAGTAAATATGTGGGCTTTAGTTCAGGATTCAGGTAATATACGATTGGGTCAACCGTAGAAACGATGGTCTGCGGGTGCCTTCTTTTGGGAATACACTTTATTGTTAGTTTTAAGAGTATGAGGGGGGGAGAGAAAAACGGGTGATCTGGGTGATTGTCTTGTGGAAGGATGTCAGTATGGATTTGAGGGTCATTGAAGTAAGAGAGTGGATCGGAGCGTCCAAAAAGTGTAGAACAGTGTGGGACAACCGTAGAATTAACAACAATGGTTCGTCATTGTACACTTGTTTAAATATATATTAGTTTATACTAACACTTGACCAGCCTAGATTCACGAAATCCAAATCGCACAATTCAAATAACACTGTTCAACACGAACTTTGATCGGTAGTATCCATTGGAATATCCTGGTAGTCTTCTCTGTCGTCTTCGATTTTGGAAAAAACGAGTTTTTGTAAAAACGCACGATTTTGGGCGAAAATGATGTATTGCGTGAAAACTAAAAACGCTAGAAAGGTTAATTTACACAAATTTTGTGAAAACTCAAAGTTTAACAAAGTATACTAGTCCTAATTACTGTCAGTGTCCCCAATACTGCTACTTTATTTATTTTACTTGATAAAAGTGTAACGTATAAAGAATTGTGTACAAAAAATTTTATTATCAAATTGGGCTTTGAATAACAAAAACAAGGAAATACATGTACTTGTATGTACGTACCCGGTATTTAAAAATTAATGTTGAAAAATGAAAGTGCAATTTGAGCATCAAAAACGTGACCACGTAAGTAGAAAGTGATGGTGAAATCACGCTAAAGAAAGAGCTGTAATTTTACTATTGAATCTATGTCTATTGTACAAAATGAATTTTTAAAGTATGTGAGAATTACATTAATTTTTGAGGTGATAGTTATAGGGACACTGGGATTACTCGCAGATTTTAATGAATTATTAACCAATTCTTCATATTTAATGTATGAAACTAGTTTTTTTTTCAAGAAAGAGATGTTAAATAATATTATGTTCCAAACTGAGATGATTGTTAGGTTAAACAACACGTAAAATGGTTAAACGAAATTACGGTACAGCTTTAAGGTGGCAATAATTGCGACATTTACCCTATTTGTGCATTTTTACGAAAAGTTCTTTATCGAATGTTGGGACAGCAATTGGGCATCTGATTGTGTGATCTGATTATTTTTCCGATTTTTTGTCCGATGATTTTTGCTGTATTCGAAAATCTTTTATTACAGATACACGCGCGAAAAGAGGGCTCAGGGGTGAACATGTCGGTGCACTTGTCGGAAGACAAAGCCTTCGAAGCTAAAAGGACACAATGGCGGCAGTGGTTAGCGTGTATTTCTGGTTAGTTACTTGTCTCTTATTAATAAGAAAATTCTTAATTCTACTGTCATAGTACATTAATCGACGTTAATATAGTAATTTCGGGACGGAGTCGGGGAGGTTGTGAAATAAAGTAACAAGGAGTGTCTTTTTTGTTGTTAACCCTCGGAGTACGGACGTTTTTATCGTTCCTAAAGACAGTGGTGTTTGGGTCGGTTTGAAATTCTATGCTTCCTTATTTTCAAACATATTTTTTTTTACATGACTAAATATGAACAACTCCTAGCTTGAATTACACTTACAAATCGATAAGTTAAATACGGTTTTTAAACACTCAGGTGAATCGTACTTCAAAAGTTAATCAACGGTCCAACTAAGCTGTAATCCATCATTGATAATGTTTAATTGTTTATAATTTTTCATGACACTGTCACGAGAGTATTATTTATATTTAAACTTAAATATGACTTTAAATGAACATTTTAATATAAGTAAGATTTTGTTAATAGAGTTCTGTATTCTGTGTATTGAAATGCAAGAAAATTAAAAATCGATTGAATCGACGACCTTGTTTGAAAACTTTTGTTATCGTAACGGAATTTTACTACACCGTGCAAACGTCTTTTCATTGTCGATTGTCGCTCGCTGGTTAGAAACGGGTTACTAGTCTACAGTTGACTAATGAACTGTAATAATTATGACAATGTCATAGATTTTGTTCTCTGTCCTGCGTGTACTGTAACTTTTCGTGCTAATGAACAATAAACCGACGGTTTTTTTCATCCCGAGCTGCTAATTTCTTGCCGCGAACTATCCATATTTTTTTTCTTTGTGTGTTTCCTTTTTTTGTCCTAGAATATTCTAAAATGTATTAAAATTACGAGTATGTTTTTTGTTTTACCTAAATTCTACTTTAAATAGCAAATTCAAATTTTTTTTTAAACGTCATCTTGTCACGACGAGTATGCTCGGCATGAATATCGAAAGTGTAAAAGAAAAAGATGGAACTCTGGGGTCACTCAAGCTTACTTGTTAACCTTTCGACTGCGAGCAGCGTTTTTAGGCGTTCTTCGATTCGTTGTAACAAGAGATTCGAGAATGACCATTATTGCTTTGCATTCCATCGTACGCTTTTTCTGTGATAACTACATTTTATATAATTAATTTTATATAATTTATACAAAGAATTGGATGTTTTTTTTTAATATTAATTAACAAAAAACATCGTATACAACGGGAGTGTTTATTGCTTACGAGTGATTCGACTTGTTCAATCTATCGTGGATAAGTGTGCAGAAATTTGTGTTCACAATGAAGTATATGAAAGGAAATCGAAGAAAATTTTTAGCAGGAGATTGGACATCTGTATGGAGGGGAGAAGTGGACGGTATGAGGATTTATTGTGTACGATGCAAGTAAGATTTCCATTTGTTTTTAAAGAGGATAATACAAACCTTTAAAATACATACTACGTATAATAATGTTATAATTGAACAATCGTATGATAAAAAATATTTTTTATATAATTGTGTAACTAAACAAATTAGGCGTTATCGGATACACTACATTGCCGTTTATAAGCATTATTCACCTGGTTTGTATGATGAAAATGTGAAGTTTCATGAATATTATATATTTTCAGCCACTTTGATTAGTTTATATTGGCGTAACTGATCTCCACTGAGCTTTTAAATCCTTCACTCAAAATTTACAATTTCAGACTTTCAACAATTTCGTAATGAATTATTCCATTAGTTTATATTCGATAAGTGTTCTAATGCTTATGAACAGGAATATATATTTGAGATTTTGTTGTATTATTATTACGAATAGGTATAAGTTCAATGTTAGTTGACTCATTTGCATTAATTTCTTTTTCTCTTCTTAACTCATTCTTTCAATCAGAAATACAAGGACTTTGCTGAAGGTTGTAATTTGTAAGTCATGTTGTGCGCTTCTTAATTTAAGATTAGATACGAAGAAATCAGTATGGAGAAATGTGGCCGATTCTGATGCAAATGGGTTGATATTGATAAATTAATGTAAGATTATTACATTTAGTGAATGTATTAGTCTAAGGATCAAAATTATATGTGTGTGTGTGGGCGTGCACGACGATAATGTTTGCGGAGGGAAGGCCACAGCGGAGTGATCGGGGATGAAAATCGGCGTCAATACGCACATACTTACGAATGTACCTACAGTGGAGTCCGGTTATTGCGACACCGCTTATAACAGCAGACCGCATATTGCATCCGACTTGCTTTCTAAATTCGGTTCCCATACACATTACTTAAGGATTGAAAATATTTAGGGTGGTTTTATAGTTTTGCCAAGCAGTGTATAATATTCTATATTTTTGTCTGTTGTCCCTCGTTAAAAGTCAGAACTAGTGTTCCTGATTTCTTGATACTTTTCATTTCTCGAGGAAAGAAATTTTTATTCTGTATTTCTCGACATTTCTCGAGAAATCTCGAGAAATGTATTAATAATAGTGTACACATATCCTTCCATTCAATTCGAATTTGTTTCAACTGAATATTCAAATCAGCGCAGTCCAAAACATTTGTCGGTTGAAAATTCTAGTTGGAAAACATTAAAAACTTCAAAATGTGAATTTCTCATTGAAACTTTGCATCGTATAAATTTATATTTTTATAGTAACAACATATTACCATAAGTATTGTCCCTGAAATTTTTCAGATTTTTTGGTGGGATACTTAAAAAAAAAATGAAAGTATTTTCAGCATTTTTTAGGGTTGTTAATTCTTTCCATCTAGAATCTTCAACCGAAAAATTCTATAACGCTTGCCGTATACACATACATATAACGCCCGGTGTCTGCAATGTACGATATTCTTCTAACAATTTTAGCATATTTTTGAATATGGAAAATGCAGAAATAATAATTCTTATTCATACATTATGCCACGATACAAACTGTATATTATTAAAAATAATCCGTATTATGTCGTGTTTGAATTCATTTCCACCAGGAGAATCCCTTCAATTTGTTCGTAACACTTTCATGGAAGTATATTGAAAAATGTTAATATTAAAATTTTTATTCTCGCATGATTCCTTATCTGTTCACTTTGTAATGCAGTTGATGTCTATGATCAAATTTTTCTCTAATCATCTATTTTATACTCTACAAATTTTATAGGATAATTCCTCGCAAAAATTTCTGCGAGAAACTGTGTAATAATTCGAAAAACCCCAAACTTGATCTTTTTTTCGATAAATCCTCGAGAAGAAACATTAGTCAGAAGACTTCCCTAAATAAACGCATCGTCGAGTTCACATGAAATTCGATTAAATCGAGTATGTCGCTTTTTTCAAATTTCAGCAACCCTTTCGATGGTGGCTGTCGGCACGGTATATGGATGGACAACCACCTCTCTGTCACGTTTGACATCAGGCGACCCCGATGTGCCCGTGAAACTCACGGACGACGAGTGTTCGTGGATCGTTTCGTTAACGGTGATCGGTTCGATGATCGGCCCGTTTCTGGGAGCCTGGTTCGCCGATCGTTTCGGTCGTAAACGGTGCCTGATCCTGTCGAGCGTCTTTTACATCATCGGCTGGATAATCGTGTTGGTCGCGAGAAGCGTGGTGGCGTTGTACGTGGCTCGAGTGATCCTGGGTATAGGGGTCGGTATATCGTACACAGCGAATCCGATGTACATTTCGGAAGTGGCTGACGTGAACATCAGAGGCGCCCTGGGTACACTGATAGCGGTGAACGTATTCACTGGCTCGTTGTTCACCTGTAGCATAGGTCCTTGGGTGTCATATCGGGTCCTAGTAGGTGTTCTTTTAACGATACCCATCCTGTTCGTCGTGAGCTTCGTCTGGTTCCCCGAGACGCCTCACTTCTTGGCGGCTAGAGGCAAGAAAACCGAGGCTGCGAAATCGTTAGGGTTCTTCAAGGGTATCCACGACAGCACGGAAGCGAAGAGGGAATTGTACTTGGTTCTGCGATTGTCGTCGGACAATCAAAAGAACCGTCTGTCGGTGAATTCCACTCAAAACACAACGATAGACAAGCACACGTGGCTGGTCAGGTTAAAGACGATGTGGCTACCGACTAACCTGAAGGCACTGAAGATTGTTCTCGGCCTGATTGCCGCCCAGCAACTTAGCGGGAACTTCAGCACCATGCAGTATCTGCAGGTGTTGTTCGAGAAATCGGCGATCGGCATCGATCCGAAAATAGCGACGATTCTGGTGTTGGTTGTGGGCCTCGTTTCCGGTGGTTTGGCTACCGCGACGGTGGAAGGAGCCGGGCGAAGACCGCTTCTGATTCTCTCCAGCTTGGGATCGTTCGTCACTTTGGCCGTGCTCGCGATCTATCTTATGCTCGAGGCGAGGGGTGTCGACGTTTCCGCGGTGAATTATCTGTCTGTGGTCGATGTGATCGTTTTTCAGATTGCTTATCAGATCGGGCTCGGCACGTTGACCAACGCGCTCATCGGTGAACTGTTTCCTGGCGAGGTTAAGGGAACCGCCGGCGCTATTGTTACGGTTTTCGATGGGATACTGGGTTTTACGGTCTCGAAGTTATACCAGGTTATCGGGGACAGTTTCGGATCGCATACGGTTTACCTCTTTTTCTCGGTGTCCTGCTTCCTCGCGTTTCTAATGGTGGTGTTCTTTGTGCCGGAAACGAAGGGCAGGACTTACAATGAGATTCAAGTGCTTCTTAGCGGGGGAAACCCGACGAATAAACGAGTGGAGGAAGATGAGGACGTTTTAGCGTGACTACGCGTGAAACACGTTATTTTTGTATATGATATAAGATTTCTAATTTTTTAGGTCTATTTATGTATTAGTATGGGAGATGTAAATAAAGATATAGTATGTTAAGTTTTATGTTTGCACGATTTATTTCAACACGGTACTGGAAGGTATACCCGGGATATGCAGGAAGAACATGGAACTTGGCATGAAATGTCTCTTCCAATAGGGTTAAACAGTTGTTTGGATTCGAAAAAATTATTGTCGGTTGCGACGTTTTTTACTAATTTTTTCTGTCAGTGAATCAGATACACGGAACTGAAGACTACATTTATTTCGTTCCCTTTGTTTGTAAAACTAGATCAGAACATAAGAATAATTAAACTGGAAATTTGAATTTGAAAAGGCGCGGAAAAACTGTAAAATCGAAATGCCTAAAATTATGGTAGCCATCTGGTGACGGAAACTGGAAGAAAACCTGGAACTTTTTTTATATAGTCCTAGGAATCGTAGGCAGGCGGCGCCACTTTACCTCCTTTGCAGATTCCTGCGCTTTGTATGTATGTACATGACAGACGAGATATATGAATAGTCCTACAAGCACTGTAATTTTCTGTCTCATACTTCGAGGGCGTCAGAAGCCCCCTTACCATTTTAATGTCAATACTCGACGTTACCGATAAAGTATGAATTCTGAGTATTATTAGTACAAATGAAGTGTTATATATTCCATTCATATTGCGTGTATCTATATGATTTGACGGGAATAAAAATATCCGATGCTTCAGTTTAAGATTAAGGGATAAATATAACAGTCATGAAACATGAAACGGAAAAGTATATATTTTTTCACTTAACTACAAGACAATTTATTCTAATACATCGTTAATGGACATTTTATTAATGTTATTTATTACATGTTCTTGTTTTATTCGTTTTTATATCTTGCCTTACATTTGTATATTTGTAACAGATAAATTCAGAATAGATGTAGTTTCATAAATCGTTTATCAAATCTACATGTGGGAGAATATATACACCGCTTTTATTAACATTTACATATTTATAATTTATATGGGAGTATGAATAGTCTTACTGCCTATTGTAAGAACTTTAATACGAAAGAATAACTACTTTCTGGCAATTGGTAAATTTTTACATATGAATTTACATATACGTTATTTACTTACAAACATTTTTTTTATTGCGAGTAATTAAATAATGAACGTATGTTAATATTCAGCTACGTGTCTCTCAAATTAAGTGAAATACAGAAGTTTGATTTTCTTGAAAATTAGTGTCAAAGAATACAGCAACTGATCAGATTAGTTTCATAAATAAATCAAAACCCTGTATCGTCACGTTGTTTTTTAGGCTATCAAATATCACACGGAGTCTTTTAGGAAGTAGTAAAATCTTTTACACAAATTCAATGAAATACTTTCAGGTACCCAGATTAGTTGGGGAGTATGAACATCATAACGAGAGCGGTAGAGCGAGCCGCGGTATCGGTGCTCTAAGTGATTCATTTACTGTGCATATTATGTATTCTATGTGTATTGTATAATGAAAAATATTTTTCCAATCAGTTATTCCATCGAAAGAAGACATCGATTAACGTCTACATCTTCAAAGCGTGCGTCTACCACTGCGTTAAGTTATTGTAAGTTAAACTTAAATTATAATTCGATATTCATTGTTATATTCATATTCATCATCTCATCGGTTATTATTAATTTTAGTCTATCTATTAATAGACTTAAATTGTGGCCATCCATTGTGCATACCAAGTTATTATTAATTCATTTTGCTCGTTGATTCTCTACACAGACTTGGGGTACGGGCAGTGGGTCTGTACCTATGGTACGGGCAGTGGGCCTGTGCACTAAGACTGTTTGCCGATCCCTCTGGTTTATATTGAGAAGCCAGATATCGGACGTGTTTAGTCTTTGCCTAGTAAGTAGGATTTGGAGAAAGACTCGTGCGTGCCAG